GGGGGTGGGTGCTAGTTCATTTTACGTATGAAAAAAGAAATTTAAGGAATGCAGGTAATGGCAAAATGATGGAAAAACCAAAACTCAAAAGAAAACTTAAAATAACTATGAAGTTTACTCCCCAGCACTGATATGGTGAATTTTGCTTTTCAAAATTACGGTATTTTTGAAAGGGGGACGCGGGGGGTTTGGGTAGTTTTTTCAATTTGTCAATTTTGTGGCATAAATAGTACCCTTCATCATTTTGCTAGGATGAGAAGAGACTGAGCAATGATTTGCTGCTTCCATCTGAGGCATAAAGTTTTGGTTTCTTTTTTTTTTTCTTTTTTTTTTTTTAAAGAAAGTTAGTTTTTCATTTCATTCATTGTGAGGTCAATGTGCATTTTTCATATAAAACAAGCCTGATTAGCCAGTGTGTTCACTTCGATTTGTATTTTCCCCAGACTTTTTTTTTTTTTTCAATCACACCAAAATATTTATGCAATCTAATTATAAGGAAATCAGTAGAAAGGAAGACTGAAAAACACCCCGGCTTCCACAGCAGCGGTATCCTTTCTGAGCTTGTGGCAGTGGTTACAGTGAACATAAAAGAGCTTACCAGCTGACAGACAAGGTACTACATGGATACAACATACACATCGTCGGATGGACCCCGCCAGCACAAGGATGTTCAGATTTACCCGCCCTCCGAGCCCAAGGCATTGATGGGCTTTTTGGAGGGCGTAGCTATCAACACCTTCGCTTCAACTCCACCCATTGGCAGGCAAGATGAGTTTGGCCCATGTACTTAGGCTTTTCTGTACATTTTTACACATCAAAACACAGTAATTCCAAGGACGTGTTGGGTTTTTTTTTTTTCCAGATGACAAAATGTTTACCTAGATAAATCCTCCCTTTGCCGTGTGTTTGTTGCAGCTTGCGCGCTGCGTTTTTGGGTTGGCAAACAACCCAAATACTAATTTCAGGATGCGTTTTTGCATGTGACCAGCTGGCAGGTATGGCAGCCTAGCATATAAATGGGACTATGGGTTAGAAAATCTTTGCTAGCTACAGTTATATGGGTATTAATTCCAAGTTTGTTTTTTTTTTTTTTTTTCCAGTAATTACTACCTTGGCAGTCTCCTGGGCTTTCTCCTGAGGTGAGCTGAGGGGCTGCAGCAGCCTCTCGCTCCCGGAGCGGGGGGCCCCGAGCGCCGGGCCGGCTG